ATAATAGTACTATTATACAATATACGTGATGTATTTCGTATTGAATTTCGTGAAAAGTTTTCATTTTATATCTATTTCAATATTTCATATTCTATTTTCACCACATAACTTTCGTCGATAATACATATATTTTGTATTATTATATTTCAATAGGCGGTGCCTCATACTTGCAGCTTCTTAGCGGTTTAATACTTTAATGGATGAAATTCGTATGAAATGTTAAATAAATAAAAAAATATTTAAGTATGAATCTAAAGTACAGTCAGGATAATATTGTCAGTTCCATCGTTAAACAGTTTCGGCACGGGAAAGCTACACTGAGAGATAAGAAACTATGGGAAAAAGTTGGATGTAAATTATTTTTTATATTAGCTTTTATTTTTTCCGTACAGTGTATCACTGTTACGAAAAAAGTTATTAGAGTCATTAAAATATGAAAATGGTCCATATAAAATGTACTGAAATGGCAGTATTTTTTTTAGGTAAAAGTGATAAAAAATAAAAACAATTTGGTCCAATCAGCGTTTTCTTTTTATGGCAGTCATTTTATTTCTTAACTAAAATGTCTAATGATTCCTCTTACCACAATAATGGTGTATTTTTGTGATGAGTGGTGGTGGTACTGTGGTAGTAGGCTGTCGTTGTGGCAGTTTGTCCGACGCGTCACCTGTGCCATTGCACCGCTTCTGGTCAACCAGCATATTTTGGCAATAGCCGAAAACATTAATTTTAGTCATGAACAGCGGCGGCTTAAAACTCAGCCAGACGTTTTGGCACGATCCAATTCTGGGTTAAGGTCGACCATTTTGTACGTTTAAAATCTTATATTATTTTATTCGTCGATTGTTAACTGCATGCCTATATAATTTCTAATTTCTATATGATAATCATGGTTTTGTGCATTTTACATAAACATCAGAAGAATATATTAATCACAATTATGATTATACAGTTAGCAGTTAGCGCACAAATATTATTACATATTTTATTATATTTATTGAAATGTTGACAACTAAGTATAAATATAATACATATCTATATTATACAACAAAGATGTTTCAATACTATAGTAGGTACATTTTAATGATGGTATATTTTGGAAAATGGTGAATTTATAATATACCTAATATGTTTAGCTCGTGCACTGTGCACTAAGCCATCGATATTTTTGTATTTGATTTTTTTATACACAATGTTAGTCTACGTTTACCTACCTATTTCACATTGCCGCAGCCTGTTATTATATTTATAATTACATGGAATTGTCTGTCTTGAATTTATTCAGCTATGAATGTGTTATAATATATTTTATGCCCATATACACTCAGCCAACTCGAAACTTTAAAAGAAAAATGAATCAGTATTTGTATTTGGTATGATATGTGTGTACAATTTAATAGGTACGTGTGTTCGGGGCTTTGGTAAAAATGTTGAATAGCGTGTATAATATTATATTTATAGTAAATACAGCAAATATTTTCTTCGCACCGCAATGTAATTTCTAAGTTAATTAGGTTAACGACTCGTTAGGAAAGCGCAGAGCGAAGAAGCTGTCGGACATTTTAATGGCTTCTCGAACGGTCTCGTATTTTATTTTTTTTTTCGTAATCGGCAGTGGACATTTCAAACCGAACACCATGATGGTCGTGCGTTGAATATTAAAACTGGTATATAAATATATAATATATAAATGTAATACATGTATAATATGGTATACATATGGTCCGCTTCGTTACAGCGTATAGGTACAGAAGAGCATATATTTGATAAACTGTATATTAATATGGTTTCAAGATGTGTTTCACTAAACAGTAATTTTCGTTAAAATGTAAGTGTTTGGACGTTTTGTTTTAAACCTAGAAGTCATATCAGCACAACATTTTGAAAAAAAATAAATATTTTGAAATAACTTATCGTGATAATTATTCGAGTTTTGATTTTTTTTAAACAACATCATATATTTTTAATTTCATACCCCTAAGATAATTTCAATAATTTCGAATTTCGATCCAGTTGTTAGTTTGTCTATAACTTTGTAAGAATCTTAAGTTTTGTCAATTGAATTGGAGTTGTCTGCTTTGCACAAATTCCTTGTGGGGCTCAATAAAAATCTACACAAATTCGCCTACAAAATTATTGTTTATAGTGATAACTGATAAGATAATCATCCTGCATAGGGTACTATACGTATTACGTGTATGTGCAGATATTGTATAGTTCATTAACTTATTATATTACGTGTAATGTGTATAAGTTGTCTACAGAAATAATTTTTTAATTTTTATTGACATCGACGCACGCCGTTTTGAAGGAACCAGTCTTACTCGTTTTTTGTGAAAAAATATTTCTCTTCAAATTGAATTGCTTAAAAATCGTTTCGTCGTCGCTCACTCACCCCACAGTCGGCCTTCACACGGCGCAGACTAGCTATTTTTTTTCTGCACCGTCTGCAATGCATCGCACTCTTTTCCCGGCTGTAACGTGTGATTTCTCCGAACTGATCGCACAAATTAATAATTAATAACACATATTATACACCGAGAGCCGTCTCATTGCGATACATTAAACGCGTTTTGGGCCGTCCACCGACACATAATGATATTTATGTCATAATATTTTTTTTATTACTATATATAGTGACGACTCGACGGCGGCGGCCGTCCGAAAGCGGTCTCGAGCGGCGACTTTTCTGCGACGTGGCCAAACCGCGCGCTTCGCCTGCCGCGACGATCGTCAGCAAAACGATATTATTATTAGTCTCAACTCTCTGACCGGCCGTATAAATCCGGATCGAATTCCCTCCGTCAAAGCCCCGGAGACTTCTTCGGTTTTTTTTTTTCTGTTCGTCACATCCAGACCACTGTAATAATATTCTAGATCAACAGATGCACACACACACACGCACACCTGTTTTTTTTTATATTATAGTTATTTTCATTTATCATTATTTGTATTCGTCGTCCTCGGCCAAGCAGCGAAGAGGGGAGGGCATGCAACACACGCACGGGTCGCCATTAACCGCCTACCATGTCGACGGCGGGCAAGGTCGTTTACGGGTCACAAGTCAACGGTGTTTTACCATAATGAGCGCTGCGCCTTTTTCATTATTATTATTGTTATTTCTTTTCGTGACGTCTGTCGACAGTGGCAGTGGCGACGTCGGCGAACACTGCTGTGACCGCGGTATACACCGTATATTATAACCTGTACACGAAACTCATAATATTATATCCTACCTACACACACACACACACACACACAGCACACACTATAACGTCCCTATTACGTATTATGGCACTGTTGTATATTTTATAATAACACCTTATACGCTGCACGTACACTCCTCTATTATTATCGTTGTACGTACACCGTGTCGAGAGCATACTGTATTGTTTACTCGGTGACATCATTTTCCGGAAAGCTTAATATTTGATTTCGACTAACTAACTGGCTTATCCGGCGATAAAAAAATATAAAGAGATACCTACTACAGACACCTCTCCACATAAATATATATCAAACAATATGTACCTACGGTTTTACGACTCACACTTGCCGCGCATAATATATAGGCGCGCGCCCACGAGGTGAAACTAGCGTTCACAGGTTGTCGTCGTTTATCTGACGTTAATAATAATTGTATGCGTCGTATCGATGTCGTTTTTGATATTTGTATAGTATAACGTATTCATCACACACATTCATGGCTGTGTTCGTAACAAAGCGTTAATATGTTACATTGATAAGAACGCGTTGTACACCAAGTCCGCGTGGATGTTATATACGCGATGGTATTTTTGAACAATATTACTGTTCTTCTATACGCATATATAGCATTGTTATACCATATTATACGACGTGCGGATATATATATATATATTGTATTATTATACCGTTCGACAATGACATTTTTATACGGCTTATTATAATATATTATTCGTTCAGATTGTCGATCACGCTATACGCGCGGTGCTCGTACACGATCGCGTGTACGTAATATAATATAATCGTACATAATATTATTATTGTACACCGCGATATACACGCAGAGGCGGTTTGAACAATTACATCTTACCGGGGCAGATAAATTTAAACCACCCACCTACCCTAAAAAAATTGTTCTCGCTTCGCTCGATTTAAATAATAACTACTTTAACGTTAATTATGTATCACTAAATATGTTCTTACAATTACTGGTATATTAAATTTGAATTTATTTAACCAAAATATACATAAAAAATCAATATTAAGATTACAAATTTAAAAAAAAAAAAAAAATTGAAAATGTTGTTTTCTCTGCTTGTTATTTTAGTCTATAATAAATAGATATAAATTAATCTAAAATAAATGTTATATTATGTTAAAAACTTAAATGCTAATGTCTTGTAACATACAAAATATTCCATAATTATCATTATTTATAAATATTAGTATTATAGTTTGTATTTGTTGGGTTTATCATATTATTTAAGACCAACCTAAGTAAAATTATAAATTTTATTTTAGTAAAACATACTTTTCAAATATTATTTATAAATTGCTTGAGTTACCTAATGAATGATTTAGGCATATTTAACATACTAATATTAATTTTTATACTATTTTAAAACTACAATCTAAATGTTTACTAAATATTCATTCTGTATAAAGTAAATACCTAAATAATAATATTAATAAAAATACTCAAAATAGTCATGGTTATAACTTATCAATTTTGAAATATTATGATAGATATCGCCAATTCAGTAACATAATAAACAGCTACATATGAAGTAAATAATACTTTTATAAAACTATCAACAGGTTTATTTTCACAGATTAAAGGGATGTGTTCACAATGTCTGAAAATATGTCTGCATAACTCCACAGAACTGAAGACATGAATATAAAACATAAAAAATACAAGACAAGAAAAATATACATTATTATAAATTATATTGTATTCTAAGGATCATAATATAAAATATGAATAAAAAATAACATTAATAATTATAAAATTACTACTGATACAACAGTTCTGTTTGCAATAATTTGGATTTCATTGCAAACCTATCAATAGCCTTTTCTTTATTTATATCTATATCTGGTGAACATGATAATACCATTAAATGGTCAAGCCTCGATTCACCCATTGCCGACCTATGTTTGGTTTTTATTAATTTGAGTTTTGAAAAGGTTCTTTCGGCTGTCGCTGAAGTTGGAGGAAGTGTACATATTGCTTTATAGACTGTATATAAGTTTGGAAATGCTGATTCCAAATTAAACTTGCATAACAGTTTTAAGATTTGGACCATTTTAAAATCTGACTTTTTGATTTTTTCGATACTTTCCGTTTGAATATCATCATCACTATTTTCTGTGTCTTCTGCATCTTGGCAACTTATAAACAATTTGGATATATTTAAATCAACATTTTTTGAATTTAGTTCATCAAAATAGTTTTTAAATATTTCAAATTCCACACTTAAATTTTCCTCATTCACTGTGGTCAACCATTGTGCTATATTTTTAAAAATATCTTTAGGGTATTCTTCACCAAATTTGTCAGGAGTAAAAAATGTCAAATTTTTTAGAATATGATCAGCGTTAGAATACCGTTTATCAATCATCATGATTGTTTTATCAAGTGTAATATTATAAACTTCACTTACAAAATTGTCTTCGGTTGAATTTGATCTTTCGTCATTTGACAATTCTCCATCCATTTTTTTTTTTAAACTAATACGTTTCCATATCCAATTTCTTTCATTTAATTCAAATTTCTCACAGAAAGTTTTCGCTTCATTAATAAAACATTCAAGGAGTTGTTCTCTTCCTAAATTTCTTAAATGGAATAATTCATTTCTAGTTGCCTTAACAAGTTTCATTGCTTCAACAAAATCTAACTTGGAAGACTGCAAATAATTTGATAAAGGTGTGGTAGAATTAAATATTTTCCTCATCATAAACATAATTACTATAAACTCAAATGAATTTAATGATTTTAGTAGACCTTTTGCCAATGTTTTTGACTTCATATCGGTTTCATTTGATTTTTGATTACTTAATGTCTTAAGTGTTTTTAAAATGGCTCCATAAGTTATTTGAACTGCTTCAATCGCCCGGTCATGGTATGTCCAACGGGTATCAGAAAAGTGTTTAAGACGCCTTATTCGCTGAGTAGGTGGACATAATTCCTTTTGGCACTGTACGTATAAATGTGTTCTTTTTCTAGAACCTAGAAAGGTAACTAATGTTTGTATAGTTCCAAAAAAATTCATTACTTTTTCATTTGCATTACATGCATCAACCACTGCCAAATTTAAACAGTGTGCAAAACACCAAACATGTAAAGCACATGGATTTTGAGCTTGTATATAACCTCTAAGGCCTTTTAACTCACTTTGCATATTGGAAGCTCCGTCATATGCCTGTCCAATGAGTTGTTTTCTCCAGTTTAATCCATAGCGTTCACATAATTCACAAAATACATCAAACATCCCTTTTCCAGAAGAATCGTTTACTTCATCAATACCAACTAAACGCTCAAAAACTTCACCATCATCAGAACAATATCGTATAACAAATGCCAATTGATCAATCTTCGCATTATCTGTTGTAGTATCAATTATGACAGAAAACATACCAGCGTTCTTGACTTTTTGTAAGATTTCGTCACGAAGAGTTTCCGCTAAAGCTTCTAACATAGCATTTTGAGAATCTTTCGACATGAAAGTGAGTCTTTTTTTTTTATCTGTATTATTCATGTTTTCTAGATGAACTGATAATATTGGATGATAGTTAGATAAAAGTTTAGTGAGGCCTATAAACTTTCCTTGATTGATAGAATCATTTTTTAACAATTTTTCATTGTGGCCGCGAAATGCTGAATCATATTTTGAAAGATACAAAATAATATCCATAAGTACTCTGACAATTTCCCGATTCTTAGATACTTGAGAATTTCCAGATCTAATTAGTGATAAATCTATTCGATTTTGACCGACATACATTGCTCTACTAATTTCTGACTCTAAATGGACTTTACTAGATTCGTGTTCCTTTAAACGAGTAGATAAATGTTTCCAATCATTACATCCGGTCATAGAAAATATATTATTCTGGGCTTTAGGAGTACCATATAAGCGACAAGTCCAGCAATATACACGGTCTACTATTAAAGAATAGGCAAGCCATTGTCTACTATGGGTATCATTGTTAGTTTCTTTTTTATAATAAACTTCTGAAAATGACCGTTCAGTACCATTAAAAGAAGATTTAGGAAATTCTCCTCCTGGCAAATCTTTACTGACTGGTTGTAAAGGGCCAAGATTGGTTAGCATTTGTAGAAGAGCTGATGAGATTTTAACATTTATATACAAATGTGGATCATTAATATGTTGTGATTCTGCCAATGAAAGACCATCGGCTTTAAAAACTTCATAAGCAGCCAAACTCTCTAGGTTTTGTAGATTACTTGTATTTGAATAACTACAATAAAAATAAAAGAATTAAAATAATACTATCTGACGTATATTACATTATGTTTTATAATTTTATTAATTTTCACTCTCAATAGTGCAATGTTCTATATAGGAAAAACTAAGTACTCAGCTGTATCTAATATTTAAATATGGGTAAAAACAAATTTAAAAATATTAATAAACCTATTTGGTTATTATTTTTCAAAAATAAGTATTAGATTTTACCTTGCAGTGACTTCTGATGGTAAGAAATTATTGATTGTTGTTGATGGAGATGTAGGTGACATCATATTATGCTGGTTGGTACTGACATTATTTTTATTTTCCAGACTAACTAAAATACAAAACTAATAAACTAATATTTCATAATATGCGAGTTTGATTATAAACAGAACCATTTACTCACCGTAATCAGTTATTGGAGATGGTGCTTCACTTTTTTCAATCATCAATATATTTTCATCATTGCTTTTATTTTTATCGAAACTGTCCAATTCTACTAGTTTATCTGCAGGGATAATTTGTATATTTATTTTTTTTAATACATTTTTATTAAATTATAGAACATGAATATAATGATGTAGGTACCTTGGTACCTACCATAATTAGTATAATGTATTAACCTGAATCAAAATTATTTGTGCTCAATTCAGTTGAAGCAATATATTGTATCTGACTTAAATTTTCACTGGGACTGGATATAGCTGTAGTTGAATTTTTGCACGTCAATTCTAGTTTATCATCTTTAAAATATGAATTTCACATAATCACATGATTAAACAGACATACAGTAATACAGTGACATAACATACTCATTTTAAAATCAGAATTAATATATTAAAAGAGCGAAATAAAAACACTAATGATCACTAAAAAACAAGAATAAAATGTACATACTGGATGTTTTAACTGTACTCGAAGGCGGTGAAGAGGCATCTACGTTAACCATCATCGTATCACTTTGTTGAACAGCTTAAATAATTTAAATAAATATTATTTTATTCTTATACAAATATTAAGGTACACACATTTACATAGAATTTAAAGTTTTTATTTAATTAAAGAACACTTACAGGTAGAGGTTTTATTCATTTTTTCAAAAAATCCATCCAAATTAACTTTTTGTCTTTTATTTTTTTTTTTACATGATTCGATGTGCCTTTTCCAATTTGTACCATTTTGATTATTTCGATCACGTCGACAAAACTCACACGTCAAATTCATACTTAATAACTTAATATATCAATATATTTTTATTATTAGAAAAATAACGAAAAAAACAGACATGAGAATTGCGAATCAAGAACACGATTAAAAATACTTTTAAGTTTTAACCATTTAACCTACAAGTATACTGTATACGACTATTACACAAGACTCCAAATGTCCAAACAAATTATTCTTGTCTCGTTAGTGGTTACTGATTAGTCGTTTCATTATATTTATCACAAAATAGTTTATACCATAGAGTATGGACTGTGATATCAGTATAATATAATCCGTATTATTTTTATATATTTCCAATTTATTTTCTAAAAATAGCTGCTTCTGCAATAATTACTGTCCAACGACAGAACGTGCAGCCCCACCACCGGGCATAATGTGTTATGGCGAGGCGGGTGGAGGTAGAATGGTTGACTGGTTATCACTTATCAATTATCATGCGTCGGTGCCGGGTCCGGCACTCCGGCCGTAGTCTTATTCTCCTATGCGTGTGTACTGTGTAGACTTGTTCCTTTAACGTGTAGTGTACAGATATTAATATTGGTCATAGCTTATTTATTAGTGATTAGTGCCTACTGCCTATAGCGCATACTGATGACAGCATAAGCTGTCTCTCGACTATAGCTGAGTCTTGCACTCTTGCTTATTTGTTGTCTGTAAACAATTTAGTATTTACAAAATTACAACTATATTATATAATAAAAGCGGTCACCCACCCACCCACCCCCTAAAAAAGTTCTGGGGTATTTACCCCACTTGCCCTACGTGTTCGGCGCCACTGCTAACAATCAAATATTAAAACCATTTAAAAAAATTATTATTTTAATAGATAGATATTTAAATTTACCTTGTTGTATTTACAAACAAATTTGGATCGGTAGTATTATGTTGTAATTCAGACAGGTAACTTTTGGTCACTTCCAAAGCAGCCAAACTCCCTAGGTTTTGTGTATTATTTTCATTTGAACAACTACAATTAAAAAAAAAGTGTAATTAATATATAGGGTGTCACAGATAGAACTAGCTTTTAGAATAACTTTTTTTCTAATCAAGATTTTTAAATTTTGGTTTTTGTTTATCATGTATAGACCCTAGCGCTACATGTATATTACATTTATTTATATTTTGTGCAATGTGCAATGGGAAAATATTATTATAAAATATTTAATTATTGGTACCTTGTTTTGTCTTTAGGTGGTATAAAGGTCGATGAGGATTGCGATTTAAATGTTTCATTTTTATGCTGCAATTTAAATTTAGGATCTGAAATTGAAAATATTTTTATACATTCAATAATATATAGTAAAAATATGAATGCACTTACCAATACTTAAAGTAGTTTTATTTTTCTTTACAGATTCGTCTTTAGAATTATATTCTAATTCATGTTTTTTACTATGACTTGAAGTAAAGAAAGAAGCTATATTTGGACTAGACTGATTTGCTTTCTTAATTTTACATGCATTTAAATGACGTGTCCAATTTGTTGTATTCATTGTGTGTCTATTTTTTCCACACACAAAAAATTCGCTGTTTTCCGACGAAGACATTACGAGCGAAAAAATAACACCAAAAAGAAACACAAAGCCACAAAATTCAAAAATAAATGAAAATAAAAAGTTTTAACACACGTCACTCGTCGTAACTCGCGGATCGTGGCAGACGGCAGTAGTACTAACGATAAAAAAAAAAATAGTAACTACCAACTACTAAGGGTATAGTTATTAGTTATATAATATATACATTATACATTAAATGTTTCAATGTTTGAATGGTGGAAATATTATCTTTCAAATTTTCGATAACAGCACATAATGTAGATAATATGGTATAAATAAATTTAATTTTTCGTTGAACAATTATAATGTATATTATAATCTATTTTTATAGAAGTATTGGGGAACTTTCATGTTTGATAAAATGCAACGCTCGTGCTAATGATATCAGATTTGTAATAATAATATAACATTTGTTATAGAATACGTCATTATATTATATATAATAATTAAATAATATATAATATTATTCTGTGCTTATCCCAGTTATACTTGGTCCTGTTATTTTAGTTATAGCTTAATATATAATATTTTAATCTAATCAAATTATAATATACCTAGATAGTACCTATTACATTGGCATTGTTTTAAAACGGAATATAAGAATAAGATACGGTTCTCATTTCTCAACATTTATTACCTATATATTACTATTAAATTCTTTTGAGTTTCATTTAACCAAACTACTGAGCACTGACCCACTGACCACCCACCCACCCACTCCAAATTTTTTTACCGGGGCACCGCCCCGGTAGAAGGTGCTTACAAGCCGCCTCTGTATACACGTAGTACTATGATTACTAGCTGGTTAAGAGGAGGAACAACATCACCGTGGGCCGACCGACGACGGCACAGCGGTCCGGAATGGGTGCCCGGAGGTCGGCAGAACCAGATCTCGGGTCAGCCGGGTCATCGGAAGAAAAAAATAAAAAACAACCGTAAAGATAATAATATTATAATATGTATATCGAACGCCCACCGGGATGATGCCCACGCCTTTACATTATATTTTTTTCGTTTTCGGATTTGACCTCGGAGCATATAAACGCGTAACCCCCCCGGGACAAGGATGTAGGTTTTTATATCGCGTACACTTTGTTTTGGTATTTTATTTTTTTTTTAACGTGAAATTTGAGATGCAAGACCGCGTGCAGGGAGACGCCGATACCGGCTATATAATATAGTAATAATTATTATGCGAATAACGAATAATAATATTCGATCGACATAAAATATTTTATACGTGTGTGGTGGTGGTGCGCTCGCACTCGCCTACTGTGTGTGTGTGTGTGTGTGTGTGTGTGTGTGTGTGTGTGTGAATGTAACCGAAACAAACTTTACGTCTGACCAAATGCAGAACAAAACCCAATGGGAATTCGTCATGGTTCGCTGCGGTTTTGAAAAAAAAAAAAAAAATGTGAAAAAACTATCGTCTTCGGAAACGCGGACGAACAATGAGTGTCCAGCAGATGACTGACACACAAAGAGATACAAACAATATTATACTATTCGCGTGAAGGTTACCTACCGTGAAAAACTGTGCATATACGAAAACCTTGAACTCTCCACCCTATCGCACAGTCCCGCGTTGTAATCCGTTCACCGTATTATATATTATTATATTATTATTATTTATAAAATAAAATATAATATAGGAGCTTGTGGACCGGCTTGTCTATTCCTCTGGGGAAACGATCGACCGGCGGAGGTGGCGGCAGTGTAAAATGTTTATCGTGGATATATTTTTGTCATTAACCATGTAAAAGCCGTTCGTCTTAACGCAACTAGCAGTTTGTTGACGGCAGAACATGCACATTTTGAAATTAGGTCTTTTACGTTTCATTCTCTTCCGAAGCCGGTGAGTTCAAAGTTACGCCTGCAGCGGCGCACAGAATATAAATAATAAAATAATCCTTGGGTAAAAAAATCAAATGACAAAATATACCCGTGAATAAGATAAAATGAATACAACACAAGAAATGGAACACTCTACATTGTGTCATGATATATACATATATTTTTTTAATTATCAAAAAGAGTTTATGATTTTATAATATTATAGTTGTTACTATAGGTATAGACTTAAAATATTATTGATTAACAGCAATATTATCAGTGCGATAAATTTAATCAAATACATGGTACACACCTTAGTATGATGTAGTTAACATAATAGTAAACGTTAATTAATAATGATTGGAAAATAATGAAATTTTGATGAAAAGTCCTATAGACCATAAAAAAAAGTGATGCTATAAAATATATTATATAGTCAGTGTACAACTCGAATGCTCAATGTGGTTTATAATTTTAATTTTTATAGCTATATTCATAGTGACATACGAGTTGTGTAACTTGAGGTTAATATAACATATTTACTAGCACTTATATTATTAGGTACCTATTAAAATACAATGTGATATAACATACATTATAAAAAACTTAAAAATATACTAAAGGATTTATCGTTTTACCACCTTAAGGCTAATATGTGTCTTGCATATCAAAAAAAGAAAAATAAGTAGAAACGCGCAATTTCAGTAAAGATGGGTTTCGTTTTAAAAATATTAATTTAATTTAGTTCCCTGCAGATATTTTAATGATAGAATCTAATGTAGTTATTGTATCTCCATTAAAATGTTAACCAATGTTTACTTCATCTGCATGTTTGAATAAATTTGTCCTTAATTTATACGTAGAAATTCAAAACAAAAATCGTTATTTCGTAGATTTAATTTATTATGATGTGGACCTCTTCACCACGCAGAGTCAGATAACACCATCAGCGTGGGTCAAAATAGGAAGGGTCGCTTTAAATGTCATAGGACCATGAAATCAATTCGTGACAAAATTTCAGCAGAGTTCGGACATGCAGTAAAACTTATTATTGTCAATCAACTTGTGTAATATATATATATATACCAGATACCTATATATAATATTATATATATTACACGAATTGGATATAGATATACGTATTACGTATATAAATTGAAGTCATTGTACCAACATATACAGCCCAAGGCTAAGGGTTCAGGATAACATTTTGTAAACCGTTCGGCGTTAACCTCTCCTCAGCAAACCGTCCCCGGCCGGCCGTATACCTACTGCAACTGTTATACTCGAAATAACAGCCTTCGAACTTCATCCAATTTATCCACCCTAACGCGATCGCAATAATGGTCTTTCACCCTCACTATCAAATAACATCACTGATGCGAACTATACACCTGACTGATCTTATATTATATAACCGACGCCTGATCATACGCAGCAAGGGTTCGGATAAATCGGAGACGAAATTAACTTTTTAACAAGCAAGTGCACGTGTGTACGTAAGATATTTTCAAAAAATATTAAACTGGCATTCAATGTTTATAAATAACTTTATATGAATTCGTAAAACTGTTTACGTTTGCGACTACTACATGAGTGTACACTGTT